CAAGGATAAGGAGGCTTGTAGGTTGAGATAAGAACAGTTTAATAATAGAAATAAAAGAAAACTCAAAATAATACTATATTAAATAGTAGTGATAATAATAACAGTAACAAAATATGCAAATAAGTGATACCCAGTGCAACTGCTCAACACCCACCGACCAAGCCCGGCCCATTCCCAGATAACAATCCTGAAGGAGTGACAATCCCGAACCAAAACCGCAATCCTGGAAGAGGGAGAGCCCGAGCGAAAGCCAGAGAGAGCCCAAAGAGGAAGAGCCCCTCACTAATATACTGGATATGACGTGATATGATATGGAATATCCCATTGCCATACTCAAATGCCAGTTTAGCTTATTAATTTAAATATTCCTCGCCCCCTTAAGTCTTGTGCTTGTGGACTAACAGAACAAGAAGTCCTTCACTTCCAGCAACAAAAGTGCAAACACTGGTGTGTTATCAGTGTCTCTCTCATAGCAAATCACAGGCTGAAAAGCAAAATGCAGCACTATTCTAGCTACTGAAAAAGAAACCCAGCTCTGTTCAGCTAAAAGCCAGGACATTCACCCAACCTGCCAGTATTGTTTATCTACGCCAACCCCTTATCTACGCCAGCCCCTTCTGTGTCACTACCCATAACCACAGGAGCACAGCAATGTGGGCTCACATTACTTCTGATGATTTCCACCGGGCGGAATGGGGTGGGTGTTCTCTGGGGCCTGTGACAGGGCTCTGCATAGTGCAGAAGTCCCCAAGAGCAAGCACCAGAAGGGGAAAACATGTTCCAGCTTCTCCAGGCCAGTTCCTGATGTTCCTCAGGAATTCTGCAGGCATACTACATAGTGACTAGGACACCTTGAGTCCTAGTCAGGATGCTCAATGGGATACTTCCCCATATTCCACCTATTCCTCCGCAGTTGTATGGAGGAGCCAAGTGAATAGAGAAGGAATGTTTTCCTATTCTTCTTCTCCCCTCTTCCATTCAGACAGCAATTAACATCTCATATCTCCAGTTCCATCCTGAGTTTTACTGTCAGGGTACTGCTCACTGCAGGTGCTGACTGTCTGAGTCCTCATGTGCTGAGCACAGGAGAAAGCAATGTCCATGACAACCACCAAATCAAGGGTACTGATTGCTTCGGCAACACTGTATGTCATCATGTCAAACACTGAAGGAAATAGAAGAACAGGTTGACTTTGCTGAGAGTACCATAGGAGTTGTACTAGGAAAAGTAAAGCTATTCAGAAGTGTTTTTTTCAGTGAAATGCTGTCACAGAAAGTTACATACATACCATATACTACCTGAAGCATGCTTGTATGTGTCCAGGTGAACATCCCTGAATGCAGGCAGATGTCATCCGTGTGCACTGTAAGATGAGAAGTCCCATAGATTGCAGTCCCTAATACCCTCCGCTGATAGTGACATGTGTCCTGCTTCTGGGACTTAAAATTACATGTTCTGCCTAACACTACTTTTTGAAGTTTAGTCTTCTCTTTTGTGCATATGACTGGCTTGTTAGTAGGTTGTCAACCCACATTATGTGCTGTGAGACTAAGAGAAGTATGGCATAGCCTTCTAGGGAGGAGCTTCTGGTACATCGTGCAGTCAGGCTGACTGCGGGCGGGCTGAGCAAGGTGGGATGCAGATGAGTATTTGGCCAACGTGTTAAACAAGGTGAGGGCTGGGTAAGGAGGAAGCGAGAACATTTTCCATTTTTATTACAAAGGATAGGGAAATGGAAAGAGGAAAATCTAACAAGTCTTTTTTTAAAGGCACTTGGTTCAAGGCCTCCCATCAGTGTTCTGCATCTGAGACTACTGAGCAGTCTATAAGCATTCAATATCATAGAATGGTTTGGGTTGGGTGGCACCTTAAAGATCATCTAGTTCCAACCCCCCTGCCATCAGCAGGGACACTTTCCACTAGACCAGGTTGCTCAAAGCCTCATCCAACCTGGCCTTGAGCACTTACAGGGAGGTAGCATCCACAATTTCTCTGGGCAACCTGTTCCAGTGTCTGACCACCCTCACAGTAAATACTTTCTTCCTAATGTCTCACCTAAAGCTACCGTCTTCCAGTTTAAAGCCAGTATAACTGAGTACAGCTGAACATCCATGCACACCTGCACTGACCCACCCATCCCCTGTTCTTACTGTGAATGCTGTTGCTATATAATGTGACTTGGGGGTGCACAGGGTATTTAAGATGTGGTGAGAAACATATTTTAACAGTAGAGTGAAGAAATCTCTGTAACTGAAACTTTTTGAGAAACGAAAAGCATGATGACCACTAGTCATTTAGAAGCATTAGTATAATTTATTCTTTCCAATGAGACGCAAAACCAAAGTGATGTAGGGAGTACCAAATCACACTCACTTCATAGTTAACACATTTGTTTTAAATACTTCTTTATAATTTTCTCTAGTACTCTCAGAGGACAGTACAACTGCCTGTATCCAGCCTTATGAAGAAGTACAGACATCTGTCTCTGATCTGCTAGATCAACAAGATAGTCTTGGAAAGTCTATAAAATGTCACCAGAGCCGGGAGCTACCCAGTATTCCCCCTAACACCACCATGGAAACCATCATTTCAGCTAGAAATGCCGAAAATGATCAAGGTCTTGGAATGGAAGGGCCTTACGAAGTCTTGAAAGACAGCTCCTCTCAGGAGAACATAGTTGAAGACTGCTTGTATGAAACTGTGAAGGAAATTAAAGATGTTGGAGCAGTAGCCAGCATGGAAGGGAGCTGTAACAGCAAATCAAAGGCTTCACTGACAGTTTCTGAAGGTCAGAATCAGATTCCCGAGTGCAGAATTGAATCAGCAGAATATGCATCTGTTGACCGAAATAAAAAAAGTCGCCAAAGTGCTAATTCAGAAAGCCCTCTTGACAACACACCAGATGTAGAGGATGAGCCTCCCCCTCCGGTACCCATGAAACTTCTTGATGAAAATGAGAACGTGCAAGAAAAAGGAGTGGAAGAAGAAGTGACAGAAGGAGCAAGTAAACCAGAGAAGGTAAATACTGCCTTGTCCTTGACAAACAGCCAAATAATGACAGAGAACATATGGGTGGGAGAGGATTTTTTTTTTTTTTTTTGTAACAAAAAAAGTCAAGAAAGAAAACTACTCAAGGTGATGCAAGACTGTAAAATGTGGAAATATGAAAAGGTACAGTATAGTCTTTGCAATATAGGCATGTACTCATTCTATTGCAGCCAATATTTTGGATTGTTGCACCTCGTAAGGCTTTTCCCAAATATTATCCAGAAATTGCATAGGAGGCCTCTGCTTCTTTGTTTAATGGTATTATACTTGTGGGAGCTCTTACAATAGGTGTTCCGTATCTCTGTCAGCATCTTTATCTTGTTCAGAATCCCCCCTTTGCTTTTTTTCTAATGAAACCAAAAAGGAGAGGGAGGCAATTGTGGTGTATGCCCCAACCTTAGATGTGCCTCCTTTGTTGGGCCATCTTGACTTAGCTGTGCAAGTGTTAGGCATCTGCTCAAAGCCACTCGTCTCTTCTCTGAAGGAGTAAGGGACAGAAAGAGAGAGAGAGATTGCAACAGTAGACTTTTATATTTGTCAAATTCTCTAGGTCACATGGGGACAGACTAAAGAATTTCTACCTGCTGAAATCATGGCCAAAAGTTACATTTTCTCAGCAGTTTATTCTTTCTCCCAGCCTAAGAATAAGTTAGTGATGAACTCCCTGAAAAATAGGATGATGACATTTTCAATAAGTTATTTTCCCAGTTTTCATTTTTCACCAGAATTAACTTTAAGGATGCTTTCAGATCAATGCACAGAGTTTTCATAAACTGTTGAGTTTGCATTTTTCAGAACTAATTTAGATAACTTACTATTAATTGTGAATGAAAGATTTTAGCAGATTAATAGAATTTTAGTGTCTGAGTCATCAAATAATTGATGAAAATTTCCAAAAAATCCTTAAGACGCAATGCAACATTTTAATATAAACATTTACCTGAAAAATCCTGGCAAAGCTGAGGTATTGTTACTTGTTTCTGGTTGTTCTTTTATTTGAAGTATTTAAGTAATCCAGGCAGAGGGTGGAAAAATACCTTGTTAAATAACTGACTAACCGTGTAACCTATAAAGCACAATAGAGTCAAAAATAATAAACTGAAGACTACTCATAATATAAGAATTGTTTATCTGGACTCTTCAGTGCACATTCTTATAAATAACATGCTCGTTAAGTAAAAAATTAAGATGTGATTGTCAACAATGATCCACCAACACTCCCCCCTCCCAAATTCAGGCCATATGTAATTTCTAATTAAACTTTTAGAGAAACAGCTTTCTGCAACGGTGCCATTTTTCCTACGAGGTGTGAAAAGACTTGTAGAAAATCACTGTATTTGCCAGGCAGTGATACAAAGGAAAAGCATTTGCTGCTCTGTAGCTCCCCAGCGCACCGCGTATACAGTGTCAGTAACTGCAAGGAGTGGGAATTGATTAAAATGGATCAAGTTTTGAAGGATTAATCTAGAGATGACACATGCAGTCCCCTAAGTGCCAGAAAAAAGGTGTTTGTCTAATTAAAATTTATTCAGAGCTAAAGCCATCCTGAGTTAAAGCTTCGGCAGCATCAGATCATTGCTGCGCTTTGCTGCTAGGTACATGCATTATGCATCGAAGCGTGTGCCTGGCCTGTTCTTGAGAGCTACAGCTGCAGCAGAGTTGGAAATGGTAATTGATGGAATATATAAATGTCATTATTGTTGGCATTGTGTGGGGAGGTGGTTACGGGATTGTTTTTCTGTTGCAATGATGATAATTTTTCCCTCTATTTTGCTGCTTCAGACCATGCAGAAAAATGCCTGCTTTTTCCAGTGTGGCAACCAAAACCAAGATGTTTATGGAAATGTAGGTTATGTCGATAACTCTTTTAGTTAAACCGACTCCATAGGTGTCTCTTTTTGCTTTCTCTCTTTTGAGACTACTTAGCTGCCTTGCTTAACATGACATTCGTATCCCAGACTTTTCAACTTTCTGCCCTGACCCTGATGAAGAGGGAGGTTGAGCATTAAGTCATGCGAACCTCTCTCAACTACAGTTAGGCTTTGCTTTAGTAGAGCACAAAGAAGGGACAGGCAGGAAGGCTGTTTGTGTAACCAAGACTTGTACCTGCCAACAGACAGAGAACAGACCATGTCCAGGCTGGTTCAGCCTCACTCTGTAAAAGAGGGCAGCCAGGATGATCCCCAGCCCATGCCAGTTCCTGAAGCACACTCATTTGGGAGAGAGCTAGGTGGACCAAGCCAGGCACCATTCCAGTATATAACAGCATGAAAAGGATGAAGAATCCTTTCAAGAGACAGACATGCAATGAACAGGTGAAAATTAGTTATCTAAGTTGGTTATTGGCCATGAGCCAGCCAAATCCTTTGGAAAGTTTTGGTAAAGAAAGATGCCTTTAATAGAATGAGGCCTCTTACAGGCCTCTATCACCTGGAAAAACTTGGGCATACTTCTTCTAATAAAACTGGAGAAGCAGAATAGTTTTTCTTTAGATCTTCCTTTTTCACCCAGGTCTTTCCAGAGGCAGCACTGGCAGAAATGCACTCCATGTGTATGTCTGGCTGCTGCCATCTGATTTCAGACTTGCACAGCCTGAGGATGGGGAAAGCATCTCTTGCAAATGCACCAGAGGAGAATGGTCTTCTTGTTCTGGTGCCCGAGTCAGGAGCAGCAGCTGAGCCAAAGAGCAAAAATTCAAGTGCTGTCGAAGGACAAAAGGACAGTGGAAGGCAAATAAGGACACATGCTGTTTGTGTTGCTGCTGCTGAGGTTTCAAGCATAATTTATAATATTACTAGGTACAAAATGTTTAGGAACAAGTGTTTTTTTCAGTTTTCAAGATGACAATATCTTTCAAAATTGATGCATCCCAAGTTTCACATTTAGAAGAAGGAATGCTAGGTCCCAGGGAAACAAGAACAGGATTGGCAGTTGCCAGCACGCTGGGGTATTTGTCAATACTTCAGTGGGAAACTGCAGAAGGGGTCCCGACACATGGTGCTTATAGACACACTGATGAGAGAAAATAACTTCACAGAAGAATTTTGCAAGCACATGTTTGTTTTAATGTGTGAGGATGAAATTAGTAACTTACTCCTTAACACAAAAAATATCCTGCAAATAAGAAAAACTAAACTGAGCTGCTATAGTGAAACAGATCTAATAAAAGGACAAAAATATGTTTGAACTTCTCCTTTTTCCTTTTTTTTTTTTGGGGGGGGGGGGGATTACTTTTAAACCAGAGGTTAAAGAGCGCATTCTCCAGACAGTGAGAAGGAAGCAAGGGAGTTGTTAGGTGTGAGAAGCCCCCTGGGGAGCAGCAGGCAAACTTCAGTGCACTTTGGGTCAAGGTCTTCAACAGAAGTGCTCCAGGGGTTTGAAGCTTGGTATTTACCAGAAGTAAAAACACAAAGAAAAAATGAAGTAAGAAAGAATCTGATGTAATGAGCCTCTGTGGGGGAAAAAAAAAAAGTCTTGTGTGTCTAGTATGTGCCTGGAAGCAGTATTTGATTGACTATGCTAAAAATAGTTCTATTTCTCCACCTTGGTCTGCACTGGAGGAGGTCTGAAGTATTTTAGGTGGAGAATTTGCATGAAACTCTAAAATATGGGCCGTTACAAACAGTGCTGGAAGGCTCCCTCTGAACCACCGTGGAGGAAAAGTCCTGCAAAGCCTTCTCACCTCAGAGGGGAGGAATCACATGACTGCTATGAGGTAGCCAGGGTCTTCATTGCCATAAAGTTCCTAAATCATTTTTCATAAGAGCAAGATGCTTTGCTCCCAGAATGTTTCAGGACCTAATTTCTGCATAAGGCTTTACATGCTTGAAGTTAGACTTGATACCAAACCAAGCCCTCCATCCTTTAGTACCTTTGCTGTGTGAACTGGATCCAGGCAGATGCTTTGAGGGTTGAGCTTCCCATCTCAGGGTGGGTTGCAGCAGGTCTCTTCCATGTTGGCTGTCTGAGAAGTTGTGAAACAGTGCTGCTGTGCACCTCTGCACCACTGCTGCATTTCGTGGGTGAGGAGGACATGGCACCTCCCTTGCAGCACTTCCAGAATCCACTGAATGAAGGATAACAACAGTCAGGAAGGTGCCAGTTGAGTATTGTTCTTTTGTCATCTAAAAGCATATCCGAATATCACGTGGAAGGCCAACTAGTGTGTCACAACAGCTGACTTTTAATTGTTCAGAAGCCTTTGCAGACTCTTTCTTGCACTTAGAAGTGTAAAGGCAGGAATACAGTGGAGCAGAGTTTGTTTTAACCATTACGTCATTTTTACCCTTTTCAGGTCAGGACAAGAGCAGATACATTAAAAAGGTCTACTAACCTCAGGGCTGTTATCTCTAGAGATGTACTGTGGTCATTAGGGATATTAGCTATGTAAAATGGAACTAGTGAGCAAACGACCATAAAATAATAATGTGTTGATTGTAATGGGAGGACTTTATTACAGGTTTCACACTGTTGACTGGTAATGAGCCTTTTTTTCCCTTTCTTTCTTCCTTTTTTACAGAGGCTTAGTTCGACATCTTACAAGTCTCGAGAGGAAGATCCATCTCTTACAGAAGATGAGGTAGGTTTCTTGCACAAAATTCAATAACTAACTAGAGACTTTTTTTCAGGCATAAATTAGCATAAGCTCTGCATGATTAAACAGGATCTAAGAAAGGTGAAATTTATCTGAAGGCAGAATGAAAGATGAAGTTTCTCTCCACAGAGTTTGAACTGACACATTCCTAAAATCAGAAATATTCTAGCATATGGCTATATCAGGCCAATAGGTTAAAAAATGGTATCAGAAAATAACGTAAGGCCACAATTAGCTGATTGTTAGGACAGCTTCTTGATTTGGATGACGAGCTCTACTGAAGAATAATAATCATCAGCCTTTTGAAACATGCTCCACCCTCCCCATACAAAGTGTTTGGGGCTCTGGGAAATAAACAGAAGCACAATAAAAGCACTGGAACATAAACTGTTCTTTAAAATGTCTGTTAGTCAAATAAATTGAGGAAATTGAAACAAAGACAGAAAAGTTAAACAAAAATAAGGTTACTTGTGATCATCTTCAATACACCCATCCAATTTATAAATATGTTCTCCAGACATAAAAGTAAACACAAAGTTGGCAATGAGCTGAGTGAGCTAATGCTTTCTGCTGGGAGAAGCACTCCCAGACATTAATTAATAAATTAATCCTTGAACTGGGTTAATGTATTTTAATGCTGGAAAGAGTTGAAGTATGGATGAGTAGAAAAGCCATTTTTTGTTTGGTTGACTGAAATCAGTAAAAAGTAAGAAGTATTGCCATCTGCAATTGATGTCTCTCTTTATAAAGAAAACATTTCAAAAATACAGAATTAACAGAAGTGATCCGGTTCAGCTGCATTAGTCAGTGTGGCTTAATGGTAATGGACATTTTCATGCCGATCTACTGTTTTAATTGGATTGATACAAATCCAGAGTGTCCTTGCATGCTTGGAAAACACTTTAGATGGAACCAAAGAGCTATGTTGCAATTGTGATATTGGGTACCTGAGAAGCAGCGCGGGGAATTTCAGCCGTCTGCCCTGTGCAAAGGCTCGTATCCACTTGGACTGGGAGAGGGAGACAAGAATGGCGAGCTCTGAGCGGAGAGACGTGTGTGGATGTGGGCTTCTCCTTCACCTCTTCATTAAGGGTCACCTTCATGCACTTGTTTAAGCATACCACCTCCTCAGAGGGGATTTTTAGAGCTAGGAGTGAAACCCCAGCTCCCTCTTTTGAGTTTATAGCAGCTGAGAGATTTCAATCTCTAGTCTTAAGTTCTGATACACAGTGACTGAGATGCAGCTCGTCTTTGTAAGCACAGTGTAGTCAGCAGGACAGACTTGGCCTATCAAGATCGTCACTGACTATTTGCTATTTTATGGTGTGGGTAATTTATCTCCTGATTTTTAAAGGTTCTCTTCACATGACTTGGTGCCTCCTTGGTCCTGCCTATAAACATAACAGATAACTACTCTCCTATTGGGGTGTCTCTAAAAGCAGAAAAGTAGCTGCTACCCTTAAAAATAATAATAATTTTTAAAACCCCAAGGATCAGACGGCATCCTTCTCCTACATTGCAGCAGCTAAACTTGATCATCCCTTTGATGCCTGTCTGCCCATTAAGCCAAAGCTAGCTCCAGGGCCATAGCAGAACTTGCAAGAGCTCCTACTCACAAAGCCATTCCCTTTTGTCCTGGGTCTAATTTGCCTGCGAGGGATTTATGTTCAAATAATTTTTACATTTATAAACTTCTTTCATGAAGCATTTTATAAAGCATTCTTTTTTGAAAGAAAAGAAATTTATAAATGCATGCCAGAGAATAAAGGATTTGTAAGAAATCCCTTTTTTTGTAAGAAAGGATATGATTTTATTAGAAGATCCTGCCTTTTCATAAGCAATTGACATCCTTGTGGTGGCAGGGGTACAACCTGGCACACAAGCTTTATGCCATGCTTAAATACTCAGCAGGTGTTTCCTTTCCCTAGATCTCAGCCATGTACTCGTCAGTGAGTAAACCGGGACAGGCCATCAAGGCACTGGATTCTCCTTACACCTGTATTCAAGAAATTGCATCTCAGAGGTCCCCGTCTATTTGCAGTGGCCTCTATGCAAGTGTGAAGGACTTTGAAAACACCCTAAATACTACCACTGTGCCTCCATCAGCAGACAGACCAAACGGGGAGCTGGAGCCTGACTATGAAGCTATCCAGTCAGTGTGCCAAGAAGAAGACAGGACCTTGTCTGTGCCTAACACAAACCACACTGCTTTTGCAGGAGAGAATGACTACGAGTGCATAGGGGACTTGCAGCACCACAGGGATTTCACCAGACTGTAATTACTCCAGCAGGCAGATTTCTCCACTGGTATTTTCAAATGGACATGTGAAACACGGAGAGGGAAGTGCTTCTCCTTTTGAGGAACAAAACTAAGCAGAGAACAGAAGTTCTGAAGAAGCAGCGTACGTTCCAGCCAGGGTGTGATACCCACTAGGTTGTTCTGGGTGGTGGATGGAGGCTCACAGGAAAGGATACATCAGGTCAGAATGACAACCGGGACAACATAAAGGCTTCTTTGTTGTTAGCTCCAAGACAACAAGAATTTGGGAAGGAGTGCCATGCTTGTCATCCCAATAGGATTGCATACCAAAAAGACTGCCTTTACAGAAAGCTAGCTTTTCATTTGAAGAGGTTATTTTATGTTATTTGCTTCAAAGTGTTTTTCCAGCACAATTTTTCATTCAGATCTGGGCATCCACAATGTTGAGCAAATCACGGATCATTGTACCTCAACTCAGACTTACTTTGCAGGGCTGGGGAAGGTGTGCTCACTTGTGTGTCTTTTGGGGAGCTCTGTCCACATTCATTGCAACTAAAGTGCAAACAATGGTACTTGACTTCAGAAGCAACCTACTCCAAATGTACTTGAATTAATTCTGTTGGCTTTTTCTTTTTTTTTTTTTTTTAATGTCAAGGGCTGTAGAATGTGACTTGCAATATTTGAGATGTGCACTGGTATTTGTAGGGGTTTTGTTTGCTTATTTGTGAAATACCGCTTTAAAATGTCAAGTGACACCCTTAGCATTCTTGCTCCATTCCCCTCCTGTGCACAGATGTACCTAAGCATACACACACCAGACAATTGTCACGTTGCAAAAAGTTGTGTAGATTAATTCATTGTCATAATGTTTAGTCTAGCCTTAATAGTGTTGAGTCATTTTTTTGAAGAATTTTGCCCTTTTTTAAGACTTAAAATATTTTAATATGTTTGTCTAGTTTATATAGGAAAATTTATGTACTTTGTTGAGTGGATTATATTTTTTATTTTTGCAACATATTTTTCATCTTCCAAGTTTCTGCAGATTAACTTACTGTTTTATGTGAAAAGAGGAATCCCATTCTTTGGGCTTTACTTAGTTTTCCTTTAATTTTTTTCCTCTTTGAGTAGTATGTAAATGAACATTTGCTTTTTTTTTGTGCGTGTGTCTTCTTGAGCAGAGATGTCGAACATGCTGTGATGTTTTTAAATTCAAAATAACGGAGTCTATGTAAAAGAACACTGCCAAAGGGCAAAAGAGACAGTGGAATTTAGTCTAGGATAGCCACTGGTCCTCCTTGTTCCTCTGCCAAAAGGAGCAGGAGGGTGACCAAGAACTTCTCGAGACTCTGACAAGCAGTTTGAAAGCCACTGGCTTTTCAAAGATACCAAGTTATTCTGTTACTATTACAAACAAAGTACAATGCTTGGATGAAATTAAGTAGGTACTGGATTGATACTTTTTTCTTCAACCATAGAACAACGAATAGTACAATAGTACAAGAATAGTCCAACAGTAGAGAACTGGCATTGTGTTGATAGGCATTTGTACACAGTTATTTGTACACAATTATGTGTACACATGTGCATATATCCCCATGTATATAAGAATACATATGTAATTTGGACACAAGTATTAATTATAGTCCAAACTTGGTAACATTCAAATACATTCACATATGTAATATCTGGCATGTGCCTGAAGAGTAGTTTATTTTTAATTAGAAATAAACAAGACATAAACTGAGGTTGGCTTATTCCATAGTAGCCAAAAGAGGTTTAGTTTCAGCTCAGTTGGTACTGGGTTTTGATATACCAGATTGAGTCCTCAGATCACTGGCCAGAGCTCAACATTACTTGGTACTGTAAAGAGCAACTGGAAGAAGTGGACTGATTTATGGGCTTCGCCTATAAGTAGTACAGCTCTGAGGAGCAGTGCAACTGTGCAACTAAACTCTGTCTGCAGGGTGATTCAGACTTCATGGATCCTGACCTCGTGCGACAGTGCAGCATGCTTGATCTATGATTCTCTTCCTTTGAAGAGAAGCAGTTCAGACCAGTCTGCATCCATCTTGCTCTTGACCGTGCTGCCATGCTTCCACAGCTGCAGCAAACCCTTTGCTTCCACTTCATGCTGTGCTTTTTTAAAGCTGACTTTGGTCTTCCTTTTCCCTCAAAAAAAGTTTCTATTTCTATTCCCTTGAATGTGAATTCATGAAGTTTGCCTTTGACTGTTCTCTCCTACTTCACACTGTTTAAGGCCAAAGATAGGATGCACCATGTTTCAGAAGATCTGTTGTGCTAAGTCTGGAGAATTTCTGAAGTCTTTAACTATGTGTTTGCTGTCTGTTCCTTGCTCAGGGGTATGGGTTTATATATGTAGTCCTCAGTCTGACTCCTGCAACTTAGTGGCAGGCATACCTCAACTCCTGAAATTCACAAATACATCTCAAGATGTAGTTATCCCTTAAGGATTGTCTTACTCATTACATGGATGACTGGTTTTGGAGCAGCAGTAGCAACATGAGGTTTGTCAGCTTCACCAGATGCAATTTCAGGACCAGTTTAAAGATAAGATAATGACAGTTAACAATGGCGAAGAGGAACACTGAACTCTTGATTGTAAAATTTTAAGGTGTGAAAGAAGAAAATCAAGCATCACTCTAGAAGTGCCCCATCAAGACTAGCAAGTCAAAGGAAGGAGGAGGGCTCCCTGGTCACTCTTTGTGGTCTTTCAGAGCAGTATCCAGAATGTCAGTTTGGAAGAAGGGACACGATACTCAGCTCCTTCCTTCCTTCCTTTCCCCTGTTCTGACAGCTGCTCCTTGAGACCCCCCAAACTTCCCTTTTCCACAGTGAAATCCCTCCTTCTCTTTTTTTTCTTTTGTTTCTATTTTTAATTGGCCTCATACAGCCTCGCACTGGGAGCTGGTATTGTGTGTGCAGACCTGTGGTGCTGGCACATTCCGTCAGGTTAAATGACTTTCAGGCTGGTAACAACCTTTTCTTCATCCACCATGCCCTCAGCCACTGAGAACCCTTCACACTGGACTCTTGAGAGCTGAAAAAAGGAATTACCCTCCAACAAGGATGCATGGGGAGAGTCCATAACTCCCCTACAATCTCCATTATACAGTCTAATGCTGAAGGAGAGTGTTTTAGAATTCAGGCCAAGGTTCTTAAGTGAATAATGGCATCTTTTGACAAAGAATCAAGCTCCTGTTTTAGTTCCCTCTTCCCAGAAGTAAGATCTGTTCCTTTTCGGCTGTTGCCAATGTCTCCTTTTCACTAATATACTGGATAGAAAGATTTTTCCACAGTAATCCCCAAGTAGATTAATCTGCCTGTAAAGAAAAGTGAGTGTCTTCTGCTTGTCTCTTCATTCCTATTTTTTCTTTTCACCATATCCCTAAATAAAATGTCAACATCCAAAATGAAGTATTTGTTACCTGGTGATCTTTTCTGGGAAGCCTCACAGTCTATTTCTTTGCCTCCATTTTTTGCCACAACTTTATAAAATCTTATATCAAATTGCCATGGTAAGGCCAAGACAAGCTGTAAAGTGTTTATAACTGCATTAGTGAAAAGGTCTTTTCTGATTTTCTTCTGGGAACTGGTAGAAATAGGAAATGCTGTTCAGACTTCTCTTCCATGAATCTGTGTCTCCTGTCGGAGCTGTTCTCACCAGATACCTAAACCCCATTGCCTCTTTCTACCATGATGAATGCAGAGTTGCTTTCTCAGTCACAGAGAGGAATAGATTCTTTACATGTATCTGTAGCGCAGGCATGTACCTAATTACCATGGTTAGATCAGTTATAGTGCCTTTTTTACAAAGTAGCTAGTACTTCCATACTCTTTTCCATATTGTGTTTGTTTAACTCAAAAGGACAAATGGACAAGCCCAACATTTACTTGTCTAAGTTATAAACAGCTTTATAGAGACACATTAAATGTACTGGACCTCAATTAGCTCTACAATAGCAATAGTGTCTTACAAACATCCTCTTAAAAGCCCGGTAATGTAGCTACGATGACTAAGCTTTGCAATAAGAATTATCAGTCTTCTTTTGAAGAACCTAAGTTTTTCAATAGTGAGCATTCAGGGAGGTGATGGTCTTTGTCCATGTCAACTGTGAACAATTAGTTGCTTCAGTCTTTCTATTAATATCAATTGCAGGCTTGCTTACTTGTAGCGGGACTCATGGGAAGGGGAATGAGAAGGTGTGGGGATTCATATTCATGAGTCACCCAGAGCTGGGCCATCTCCACAGTAGCAACTGGCTGAGGACCAAGCTGCCTTGTTCTCTAAGCCCTTGTCTGTTATGCCTTCAGGGAATCCATCCTGCAGGGATTCTTCTGGGCTTCGTGCTTCTCCATGGCTCCCTGAACAGCTCCTGTCCTCTGTCTTGATCACAGTTCTGTATACATGGTGCTCTCTGTCCAACCTTTCCAATGGTGCTTTTATAAGATGCTGGATAAATAGTTTCCATGTGCTTTCTGAAAGCTGACGTGTAAAGCTGTGACACAGTGCTTTCTCTAGTATTGTCTGCTTCCCAGAACTTAGTGTTAACTGTGTTACTCTGACTACAAAAGGCTGACAGTGCTGCCCTGTCCCTTTTTCATCCCATACAACCAGAACAGAGTCATCACGTGTAACAAGCCTCGGCTGGGCCACCGGTGTTTAAAAGCAGCCGTTCAGGCCAAGTGTCTTGGCTTGAAAGCAGTTAGAGACATGACTCATCTGTGCAGTGTGGGACTGGAAACATCACAGAGCCCAGCTCAAGGACTTCTTTCTGTCTCCTATTGTGTGTATACATTTGTTTGCAATATGACTGTAACAAATCTGTTTCTGCAACAGACATTTTAATCTGGGCACACTCCAATGAGGGACTTTTTGCTTTTGTTAGGCAAATTACCAGTTGTTTCAGACGAGTGTTATTTATTTAGATTCATGCCTGAATAAGGCTGTTATGTGCCTCACAAGCAACTTGGTGTGTGTAGTCTGCTGCAAAACAGGAAAATGCAGAAAGATGCTCAGCCTGACAGATGCTCCTGTGGTGGTGTGCCAAAGACTTTCAAGGGCAGGTCTC